AGTCATGGCAACTGCAATAGGTCAAGCAATTCCACTTCTTTCCTTACCTTTAGACTATGTTCTTTAAGTTCCTGGTAGTCCTTTTGATCTCATAGCCGTTAGTCGCTTAGCCAAATCCCTTAAATCTGCTATTTTATTTCTCGATGACCTTGGTTTTATACAGAAACACAGTACATGACGGATCATTGGTATCGGACGTGAATCAGATGGACTTTATTACCTTATCCTTGCAAAATCACATGGACACGCATCTTGTCTTCCTCCAATAACTTCTCCCATTACTGATTCACCAGATTTATTACATAAACGGTTAGGACATCCCAGTTTGTCAAAACTTCAAAAAATGATACCTAACTTATCTCACTTGTCCACTCTAGAGTGTGAGTCATGTCGGCTCGGTAAGCATACCCGCTCCCATTTCCCGCGACATCTCTATAATCGAGTAGAGTCACCTTTTACTTTAGTCCATTCAGATGTTTAGGGTCCTAGTCGGGTCAGTTCCACCTTGGGATTCCACTTTTGTCAGTTTCATTGATGATTATTCCAGTTGCACTTGGATATTTTTGATGAAAAATCAATCCGAGTTATTTTCTATTTTTCAGACCTTCCACGCTAAAATTCAGAGTCAATTTGGGGTTTCTATCCGCATATTTTGTAGTGATAATGCCCTACAGTATTTGTCTTTCCCATTTCAGCAGTTTATGAACTCCCATGGGATTATTCATCAAACATCTTGTCCGTACACATCCCAACAAAATGGGGTAGCTGAAAGAAAGAATAGACATCTCATTGAAACTGCTCGTACTTTACTCATACATTCTCATGTTCCGGTGCATTTTTTGGGGGGATACAGTTCTTACATCTTGTTATCTTATTAATCGTATGCCATCTTCAGCTATCCAAACTCAAGTTCCATTCTCTGTCCTGTTTCCCCACTTACCTTTGTTCTCTCTTCCACCTCGTGTCTTTGGGAGTACGTGCTTTGTTCATGACCTTACTCCAGGAAAAGATAAGTTAGCTCCTCGTGCTCTTAAGTGCATATTTCTGGGATACTCAAGAACGCAAAAAGGATATCGATGTTATTCTCCTGACCTTCAACGATTTCTTATGTCTGCTGATGTTACCTTCTTTGAAACCCAATCATACTTCACAGGTCCAGTTAATCACTTAGATATTTCTGAGGTGCTACCCGTTCCTTCTTTTGGAGATTCAGTCCCTATCTCCCATTCATCTTCCTCTATAGCTCCACCGCCTACAGTTCCAGTTGTAGCTCTACCACTTATAGCTCCAGTGCCACCACCGAGTCCAGTGCCACCACCTAGTCCAGTTCTACCAATTATAGCTCCAGTGTCACCACCTAGTCCAGTTCCACCAACTATAGCTCCAGTGCCACCACCTAGTCCAGTTCAACCTTCTACAGCTCCACCACTCCTGACTTATCATCGTCGTTCCCCGCCAGCATCAGGCCCAACTGATTCACGTCCTGCACCTGACCCTACTAACACTGCGGACTTGTCTCCTCTTAATCAACTGATTGCACTACGAAAAGGTATACGGTCCACACTTAATCCTAATCCTCATTATGTCGGTTTAAGTTACCATCGTCTCTCATCATCCCATTGTGCATTTGTATTATCTTTGTCCTCTGTTTCCATCCCTAAGTCTAGAGGTGACGCACTGTCTCATCCCGGACAGCGGCATGCTATGATTGACGAGATATCTGCTTTACATACAAGTGGTACTTGGGAGCTTGTTCCTCTTCCTTCAGGTAAATCGACTGTTGGTTGTATGCAGTCAAAATTGGTCCAGATGGTCAGGTTGATCGACTTAAGGCTCGTCTTGTTACCAAAGGATATACTCAGATATTTGGACTCGATTACAGTGATACTTTCTCTCTTGTGGCTAAAATTGCATCAGTCCGCCTTTTTCTATCCATGGTTGTTGTTCGCCATTGGTCTCTCTATCAGTTGGACATTAAGAATGTTTTTCTTCATGGTGACCTTGAGGATGAGGTTTATATGGAGCAATCACATGGGTTTGTTGCTCAGGGGGAGTCTAGTGGCCTTGTATATCGGTTGTGTCGATCCCTCTATGGTGTAAAGCAGTCTCTTCGAGCCTGGATTGGTAAGTTCAGCACAGTTATTCAGGAGTTTGGCATGACCCGTAGTGAAGCTGATCACTCTGTATTTTATCAACATTCTGATTCAACTCTCTGTATTTATCTGGTCGTTTGACGATATTGTTATTACCGGCAATGATCAGGATGGTATTAGTAAGTTGAAGCAACATCTTTTTCAGCACTTTCAAACTAAGGATCTGGGCAGATTAAAGTATTTTCTGGGTATTGAGGTCGCTCAGTCTAGCTCAGGTATTGTGATCTCACAACGGAAGTATGCCTTAGATATTCTTGAGGAGACAGGAATGACAAGTTGTAGACCTGTTGACACTCCGATGGATCTGAATTCTAAACTTCTGTCAGGACAGGGGGAGCCTCTTAGCGGTCCTGCAAGATATAGACGGTTGGTTGGTAAATTACCTTACAGTGACTAGACCTGATATTTCCTTTCCTGTGAGTGTTATGAGTCAGTTTATGGATTCTCCCTGTGATAGTCATTGGGATGCAGTTGTCCGCATTCTTCGATATATAAAATCAGCTCCAGGCAAAGGCTTATTGTTTGAGGATCAAGGTCATGAGCAGATCGTTGGATACTCAGATGCTGATTGGGCAGGATCACCTTCTGATAGACGGTCTACGTTTGGATATTGTGTCTTAGTAGGAGGAAATTTGGTATATTGGAAGAGCAAGAAACAAAATGTGGTTGCTCGGTCTAGTGCAGAAACAGAATATCGAGCAACGGCTATGGCGACATGTGAGCCAATTTGGATCAAACAGTTGCTCAAGGAGTTGAAATTTGGTGAGATTAGTCAGATGGGACTTGTGTGTGATAATCAAACTGCTCTTCATATTGCGTCAAATCCAGTGTTCCATGAGAGAACTAAACACATCGAGATTGACTGTCACTTTGTTAGAGAAAAGATACTCTCTGGAGATATTGCTACAAAATTTGTGAAGTCGAATGATCAGCTTGCTGATATTTTCACCAAATCCCTCACTGGTCTTCGTATTAGTTATATATGTAACAAACTCGGTACATATGATTTATATGCACCAGCTTGAGGGGGAGTGTTAGTTTGATAGTTAAATAGTAGTAAATAACCCTAATACCATATGTATTAGGAGTATGACATGTATTATATACAAATAGGGCTCATTGTATCATTGTCATAATTAATCAATAATATATTTTCTCCCGTGCATTCTCACAGTTCCCAAAGATTATGAGCTTGTTCCCAAAGGTCATGTTATGGCAATAATGTTGTACAAGAAGTGCAATGATTCCAACTAAGCTGTTCGGCCAAGCTGTAAAAATCAGCTTATTTTGATAAGTACTTTTTCTCAAAAGTGTTTTTCTCAAAAGTATTTTTGGTGAAAAACAGTTTGTGTTTGGCTAATCAATTTGAAAAACATTTCTGAGCAATAATTAGTTATTGACCAAGCTTTTAAAAAGTGCTTTTCAAAAAAATGCTTTTGGAGAGAAGCTATTTTTTTCTGTTTCTCCTCAAAAGCACTTTTTTTCTTCCAAAACACTTCAACTTTAAAAAGAAAACTTTTTTTTTAAAAGAAAAAAAAATACTTCTAGGATTGGAGAAGCTTGACCAAACATGCTAAAGAATTTAGATTTCCTAACACTGAATTGAAATGTTCTCTCAATATACACATATGCACCTGCGCGCGAGTATCCATGCGAGTGTTAAGCTGCTACTTTTCTTCTTTTTAACAATCACTCTGTCCGCTTCAAAAAGACGGAAAGAATTCGGAGTTGGAAAGTCTTAAACATTCTCATTTCAGTCTCACATCAATTTCTTAATCCTTTTTAAAATAATATATATATATATATAGTTAGAAACTTGATTAGAAATTTTATAAAGTAAACTTTTAATATATATATATTAAAATGTTGTGGTCAAAGAAAAAGTTATTTAAAATAGAAATAGCGTCTTATAAAGTGCAATAGAAGGAGTAACATTTAGTAATTCAAATCAATATGTAGAAAGAAAAGAAAAATCTGCTCGTGACAACTGTATTGGTAAAATTTCGACTCTGGTATGTGGATAGATCGCATGATGGCATGACATCATTGGGGATCAGTTTTATTCTCAGGAACAGGATAGCGACAAAATTCGATCTTCACATGAAGTACTTACAGTTCGGTGATCCCTCCCGGGAGAAATAAGCATTGTGTCTCGGTGAAGCATCCCAAAGATTGTTCCGGGGGCTAACCGATGAAGGCATGATCCGGAACTTGACTTGGTCTTCAACTGCCTCCATGATGCAAGGGATTAGCTCATGCCCACTATGCCAGATTTGCCGGTATCTCGACGGTTCCTAACTATTTGGAGTGACGTGCGGGAGGGGAGATGATCATGTGAACTTTATGCATAGGCTATAAATACCTCCATACTTATGAAACAATCTACCGAATTTATTCTTTACTTAAAGCTATTGCGTTATTATTGGACAATTCTTCTTGATTTTGCAAGCATTGTGGCTCACAATGATAATCAACTAGATCCTGCTGGTCTTTTATTTGCTTAATTTCATTAATCTATTCACATCTGTATTAGCTTGATTCTACAATCAATTCGATTGAACTTACGGGTCATGACCCGAATTACCTTACGGGAGTTTATAATATACTTCTGGCATTTATCAGAGCTTCACAATAACAACATACACAGAGCTTCACAGTGAATATAATATTAACTTGTAGTACTGAGGTTATAATCTTTGAGAACGGGTTGTTCGGACTCCCTCCAAATCCACGTACGTTCTTTCTATATACTTTTGTCACTTCAAAACTGAAATTAGCGAATCTGCCACTTTGTACCACTTCTCACTTGGAGAGCATGTCGAAGTAACTAAAGTGGAATCTGACTCATTCACGAAGAGCACGCACAAATATCCAATTATTACTTTAAAAGTATCGTTCAACAATTGGCTCAAGTAAAGTCTCAGAATCTGAGATAACGAATCTGTTAGCTATGCATTAAATCTGTCCTTGTCCTGTACAGCAAATATATGAGTGATGTTCAGAACTAGTTGCTCACGCATCAATTATGTACAAATATGAATGTGTAATCCTACTATAACATCACACTCCCGCCTCTAAAGAAAAATGAGGCAGAGTGCAACACTCTAGCAAGCTAACTTGACCCCCAACTCAATAGCCTGAAAGAAACAGCAAAGAGATGACACTTAAGAGGAGGGAGATGGAAGTAAATTAGGATATTGATTGTGGAAACAGATGGAAGTTTCCCACTGATGCTGCCAAATTTAATTCCGGAATGGTCTTTTTACCTGCAAAGCTCCATCTCTCAAGTATATATGAGGGGTCCAATCCAAATTGTTGACAAGTCTAAAGCTTAACTGCATCACTGCCGTTTCCACCCAAATCAAGTTCTGTATTGAGAAGGCTTGCCTCTTAGCCAACATGAGTTTGTCGCCTGTTTGAAATGGTTCTTAGTAATCTGAATTTTATAACATGTGAGCAGAGTTTACAGTAATGTTCATGGGAGAAAACTTACTTTAAACTTGTTCTCCTTCAAAGATTCCAATGATTCAGCAAGCTCTACTTGTTGTGATGCTGTTGCAAGAAGTGCCTAAGACCATGAAGGTTTAGTTCCACTTGTCAATGATAAATAAATAACTCAGCAACTGGACAAATGAATAATATCTCAAAACAGTTCATGGGCCAGTACCTTCTTCGTCCTTTGCAAGTCATACTCTATGAACTTTATTCGGTCCATTGAATCGAGCAGCATAAGGTCTTTTTCAGGAGGAATTTTTGTAGGTTTCTTCAACAAATCAGCCACCACCTCCTCTAAATGTTGCAACCTCTGACAGCATGGATGGAGGAGATCTTCCTTTTTTGGGGAAGAAACAATTTGCTCGGCAGAACTTGCACTCACTAATCTCTGCCCACTTCCAAATCTGTTTGCGTCATTGTTCTTCACAAATAACCTACCCACCCCACGAAACAAGAAATATATCCATGCAAGTGATTTGACCATCATATCAATCATCAAGCCAACGATAGATTTCTCAGGCGACCTTCGCTGTAGTGCTACAGTAGCCCTATCTGTTGCAGAGAGAAAAAAACAATTAGATGTATGAGACCACAGTGAAGCTTCTTTTCAAAATAAAGCAAAATCCTGTACAAATTCTCACATTAAAAAAAGTGAACAAACAAATCAGTATAAATAAGCTCCCTTTCCTCTTGAAAGGAAAGACGAAATGATGCACGAGACAGGAAGATTTTGCCCCCAAAAAAAAAAAAAACTGGAAGCATCTTTTAGAAAGCTATTTAGAACTGCATAAACATTTAACGTACTATAAGTGCAACAACTCCTAAACCACTGACTCAAATTTTTAATAACCCTAGAGGAGATGATAACATTCAGGTTTTGTGCCAAAGTCGCACACTGGAAATTATGTCTATTCTACAACGCATCAGATAAAACAACTCCATCATCACATCCAACTGCAGAAGCAGCATTATTTTCTTCTAAAATGAATTGCATGGTGAAGTGGCAAAAAAGAAAAGGTGTCAATAATTTCCTAGCATTGAATAAGATTTCAATAAAGCAACCTCTAATAAGATCCAAGTGCATTTCTTCCTCTTAAAATGATAAAAAGCCTTCGGATAACTCTCTCTACTAGCAACATATACAAAACTTAATCTAACCTAACAGAAGTGTTAGGATTACTTGTTTCAACAACCAATCATATTGTGCTACGGGAGCTCAGCCAACTACGATAACCAACACTGAGCTGTCACATGGCCTAGAACCATGCTTATATTAAAGAAACAAGGCAACATGTCCTAAGTAAATTTGAGACACGACGGATACCACACATTAACAGCTCTGGTAAAGGAAAGACCAGCTGGCTAATGCAAAATGAAACTCACTGATTGACCATAGAAATCAAAGCTCTTACTTGGAGAACTTAAATCCTCAGCTGTAGGCATCGGCCCATGATCTTCTTGAATGAAATTGCCGAATGAAACAGATCTCCTGGTCGGTTCCTAAAGAAATCAAGCAGGAGACATGAATATATAACTATAATGGAGAAACACAGAACACTGGGCGTATGAAAGTCACTAGTTTGAGATGGAAAAAACTTAAACATGTTTCTGTATTATGTTGTAGATCGCAATTGATAACCAACCAATAGAGAACCAGATTCTGCAAATATGGTTATAAGCATCCTCAGCATATAGGGCTATAATTGCATCAAATAATGTCTGCATATAGCATAGTAATAAAGACGAAACACCATTACTCTCTCTATCCCATTAAACGGTGACTACTTTCACTTTCCATCTCAAAAAAAATACAATGTTGTTTTCTTTTTTGATAAGTAAAAGCTATAGTAAAATGTTTGAATAGATTATTATATTTAATTTGGTAGAAAAATGTAAAAATAATAGTTTATAATATGAAAAGGTATAGCCCTCAGGGCTTTGGTTCAATGACAAAAGTAGAATACATGGGATTTGCAATAGGCGCATATCACCAGTTTGATTCTTGCCGGGAAACCAAGTGTGGTATTTAAGTGAGAAGGGTAGAGTGGGCCCAGCAAATTTCAAAATTGGAAACATCGGATTTTTTGGTTATCAAAAAGATGAAAATGTATGGTTATTTGGTAAGACGCACAAATCAAGTTATACTATTATTTCATATTGAATTGAATTCTTGGAGGGAGAAATTTCAGTTTTAGGGTGTTGAAACATAGGAAGATATTTAAGTAATTAAAAGTGTGTTGTCTCTCTAAGCTTAAACTTTTAGATGAGATTGTCACACACTTAAACATGGTATCAAGGGAGGTCCTGAGTTCGAGTCTCACCACCCAAAAAGAAAAAGAATTCCAAGTGTTTGGCTAGGAAAAAGAATCAGGCCCACACATGAGGGGGCGTGTTGAAACATAAGATATTTAAGTAATTTAAAGTGCTCTCTCTAACAGTTTAAACTTTTAGATGAGATGGTCACACACTTCACATATAAAAGGTAAAATTTAGGATGAACCAAAAAAGGACTCGTTTATTTTTATTGGGGCTAGAGGAAGTAAATTCAAAGGGGGTATACTCCTGCTATGGCACATGCTAAATCATATCTGCAAATTCACAGGTATGATGCATCTGTTATATCTTTCTTTACTGGGAAACTGTTCCTAAAAAGTGATTCCTCGGTTTTCTCACTGCCTTCCCTTCTATAATAGAGGAAAGCTAATATCACACCCAAGCTAACTTGCTGGTCAAATGTCCAACGTATATCACAAATGATGGAAACGGCTTAGGATATAGAGAAAACTCAAACATAGATGTTCTCAACTTGGCATAAATATGGATCAAGAGCTGGTAAGAGGGGCAAACAGAATCTTGTTACTCACTTTGTCAGAAAGTGGTTTTGATTGGATGATACTGTAAGCAGAGACCCCCACTTCCATTTCAGTTTCTGCAGACCCAATCTCGTCGCGTAATAACTGAGCAGAGAATACTGGTCTCAAACACGATGCATCTCTAAGATAACTGGAAAGGCATAGAACAGTGTAGCTAAGCCACTATAATACCTGAGGCGAAACAGGTTTGATTTCGATATCACTATCAGAGAAGCTAGTAATTCTCCTGGGATAAAGTGCTTCACCGTGTAATGCAAGGACCAGCTGCAAGGGTATTTGGTATGAAAAAGTGAGAAATGTCTGACGGCGGATTATTACACAAAAACATGTGATGAATATGATTTCTACAGACAATGACCACACCTTCATCAGTTCTGGATCATTCCAGGGTCCTTTGTTAGACCTAAGACACCCACCTGGATTTGGGCATGAGCAGGTTCCTCCAAGAAAATCTGGCAATTGGCTGTTAAAACCAATGTACATAATGAAGGAATGCACACTGTTATTCAATAATCATACTTTTGCAATATAGAAAATGACATTTTAGCAGCCATTGGTATACCTGGGGTCTACGACTTCTGCTAAGTTGCTCTGGAATTTGTTTCCCAATACCTGTTAATTAAACAGAGGCGATCATTATAAGTTTCACATTACCCTTAAAGACAACCATGCAGGATAGTGGAAATTCTTTTACATGTATCTTCGTTGTTGTCCTTGGATCAAGAAATCCTTTTGCAGTATTCCAAAGAAATCTGAATCCATTTCCAGCATTGACAATGAACATCTGGTGCAATGTCTGCAGAATAAAAAATTATTAACAAAGGATCAAACGATTAAAAGGAATTATGAATTACTATTCAGAACTGAAACTGAGGCACCTCTGGGTAGTTGTCGCCATCTATTTTCTGCATGCGCATGACCAAATCATGGGCAAGCTTCCCAAAACTCCTCCAATTCTACATTAATCACAAAAAAGGATGTTGTATATCAAATATGGAAACTAATGAAGCTTAGGTTGAATATCAAGTAAATCAATACCGACCAGTCCTTGTACATCCAAAATTGTAGTAGATGAATCTATATGCCTCCTAGCTGCAATCGAACATGCTGGAAATTTTTCAGCAAAAGTCCTTTCAAACCCTTGGATGTGATATTTCAAGAACCTTTCTATAGTGGTAACATTCATAAGTTTAGTAGGTTCAATCTTGCCAAGTCTTTCAATATAGACAGGCCGTCCCCCTTTGTCTACACCATGGTAACCGTGAGGGTAATGACGCTGAACTTCCTCATATTCCTCATACTGAAAATCCTAAACATTTCCAGAGTTTACATCAGAATTTATACACCTAAAAGACAAGAAAATGTGCCAAAATAAAAATTCTCAAAAGCTGTTTTGTTATGTATGTATTCAAGATTTAGGACAGCAGGGAGCACTTGACGAAGAAGCAGAGAGAAAAAGAGAGAGAGAGAGAGAGAGAGTGCATAGATGTTCATATCTGATACTGCTTGAGACTTCAGTCTTTAGGATTCTAAACAAAAGATTGTTGCAATTCATCCAGGAGATATTAAAATATAGAAGGGTAGAAGAGGAACAACCCCAATGTCTTTCAACAAACTTTACAAATATTAGCATGAATGATGATAGTATTTCATATCAATGGAAACATAAATGAATAGCACTTGGCTTTGAGGCCTTAGAGTTAAAGGTCAAGAAAAAAGATTCGGTTCAATGGGTTGTTGGAGGGGGATGGAGAACCAAAAAAGTCACTCCCTAATGGATGCGGGCTATGGAGGAATATCTTGAACGGGTAAGAAGAGTTTAATAGGAATGATATCATTCAGGGTGGGTGATGAAAGCAGGAGAAGTTTTTGGAGGCACAGGTCGTGCAGAAACAAGTTCAGTATCACATTTCCTAATATGTTCAAAATTTTAGGGGTATGCGAGTCCAAGGGATACAGAGGCTACAAGATGGAGAAGTTAATTGGGAATTGAGGCTTAGAAGGNGTTATTCTATGTCTTATTATGAAAAGTTCTTGGGCAGGGAAGAGTGAATTATTTTCATATCTCTGTGTATGGAACCTGTTGATGTGCTTCTGTTACTATCTTGTTATTGTTACTGCTTTTTCCATGTCTTTTTCATTACTTTATTTGCTTTGTTGCTGCGACTATGTTGAGCCAGGGTCTACCGGAAACAGCGTTTCTACTTGCACAAGGTAAGGGTGAGGTCTGCGTACACACTACTCTCCCTAGACCCACTTGTAGGATTCCACTAGGTTTTTTTTTTTTTTTGTTGTTTTGTATGGAACCCGAGAGTTCCTAGAAAGGTGTGTTTTGTCGCCTGGCTAGCTGCCCGAGGGGAGAGGGTGATCTTGACGGCTGAGAATTTGAGAAAGAGGAAGATTCCATGTGTGTGTTAGTGATTTATGGGTAAATGTCAATGTTGTGAAGAACGTGAAGTGAGAAAAAGCGACAACCCTCATTTCGCTTAAAGCGAGAAGCAAGAAGCGAAACGCTCGCTTTTTTGAAGTGAAGCGGAATTTTAAAAAGGATATAAAAATTAGAGGTTAAAAAAAACTGGCCAGAGGAAAAAAAAAATTGGGCAGTAAACTGGGCAATTTTTTCTTTCACTGTTAAAAATTGGCATCAATTCTGAGAAAGAACCGAAGGTAAAAAAAAAAATCACCAGCATTTCACTGCTTTTGGACGTTTAAACAGTGAAAGAAGGAGAAGGAGGAGGAGAAAAATCACAACATACCTATTGTTTGAACTTGAAGTTGAAGAAGTTGATGCTTTCAGTCGATGAAGAAGAAGAAGTCGACCAGTGTCTTTAAAACCCTAGTCGCATTGCATTTGTTTGTTTAATGAAAGACCAGACCTCGTTTTTAATAAAATAGGGCTGGGTTTGTTTTAAAACACAAAAGCGGTCGCTTCTTCGGATCACATCGCTTTCCCGCTTCTCGCTTTTAGTGGGAAGCGGTCGCTTTTCTACAGCTGAGTCACTCAGCAGGGTGAAGCGTGCAGCTTCTCGCTTCACTTTGCTTCTCGCTTGAAGCAAGGAAGCGGGCGCTTTTTTAAACACTGGTAAATGTTCAGGAGACGACATGGATCACCTTCTTCTTAAACTGTCAGAGCGTTTCGGTTGTTGTGGGAAATACTAGGATGGTTTGGTCTTCAATAGGTGATGTCAGTCTCAACCAAAGAAGTTATGTTCGGTTGGACCTTTAGAAGACCAAAAAGAAGACACCGGAGGGCATGGAATGTTGCTCCACTTACAATTTCGTAGATTACGAGAGACAAGAATAAGAGATTTTTATAGGGAATAGAGAAGGATTTTTTACGGTTGAGGAATAACATCTTATCCCTTATTTCTTTTTGTTGCACCCATGAGCTCCCAATAAGCATATAAGGTTGGGTATTGTTCGTAGAAAATCATATTTTTCTATTAGATTTCTAGTTTTTGGTATACTTGTATACGTGGCAATTTTTTCCTTTTCCTTATAAACTTGGATTACTTTATCAAAAACAAAAATTCCAGCTTAACATCAATTGTTGAAATCAAATCATAACAATGCCACAGCTCCAGACAATATCCTCAGACTCTATGGGAAAAATTGGGGAAGGACTAACACATTAAAAACAAGAAATGAAAAGGGTCATCAAATAAAAATTCTATGCTGCATAGAGATTTAACAGTTTTCAACCGATACATACAAAACAGCATTACAAATTGGAGCACTTTAGCATATTCGCTCCTTAGAGAAATTGCTAATGTTATAAAGACGCCAAACAGTTACTTTAATCATTTTAAAATACTACACTAAAAACAATGTCCAGAGAATGCTTTAGCAGGGAGTTTTGGTAATAATAGTTCAAACCATCATCATTTGCCTCAATTCTCATCAGATCTAGAACTCTGTACAGCTTATGAGCAACCAAAAACTTAATGTTTTCTAGCTAAAGCAAAATACAGCAATATGCACGTAAAATTGCATGCAATAGAACTCTACCTGTATAATAGTGTCTACTCCTTGTTCTTTCCTCCAGTTGAGCATTTCAGACCACATTAGCATGGCCTTATCAAGGTCAAATTTCCTTGCTTTTAAGAACCTGCAATCGACCCAAATATGCTTTCAATATGAAAAAAGAAGCAATGCGACTAGGGAACTTGAATCACATGGCCTTACCATGTATGAAAAAACAACAACGATCCTCTTATTTAAAAAACATATAAATTTCCAAACTACAACAACAACAACAACAAAAAAGTGAGATCCCACAGGTGGGGTCTAGGGAGGGTAGTGTGTACGCAGACCAAACTGTTATGGAGAAAGAGTAGAGAAGAAATTAAGCAACATCTACGTGCAAAGAATAATTGTCAAAGAAATAAGATTTGACGAACAAGAGCAGAAAGAATTACGAAGAGGTACTTCTAGAGGAAGAAAATTAGGAGCACTATGTTCTTTATCTTGTCTGCCATCAAAGAAAATATGCTGCCATGAGAAGAAATTGAGCACTTTCCTATTTGGCTACTGTATAAGCTTCAGGATTCAAGTATCATAATGCAACACAAAAATTGGTCTGTACCAAAAACTATGGTCTCAAAAGCAACACTCACAAAAAAGAAACCTCTTATTGGTAATAGTAGGATTTCACCAAGATTAAAAGCTGTAAACATGGAAAACTAAGCTTAGTTATCAAGCTTACCAAACTCTTTACTCTTTGTTGAGATAGATGCAATAACTTTGAAAATAAATTAGGTATAGTTTTCCATATTATTGCCTTATGCTTGTATTTCAAAAGGAGACCTCTAAACAAAGTATTTATATTCTAAAAATCTCGAAGAAGTCGACCTCTATTCTTCAAAAAGGCTAGCTCTGCAAATTATTTGCAAGCTACATGGATTATAGTCAGGAAGATTATGAGAAACTGTTGCAGGTAGATGATTTATATTAATATATACCCTACAAGATTTTGGTAATCAACAGATGTGTTCTTCTTGTATGGATAGAAAAGGAGATATACTGATCTAGACAAGAAAAACAACTCGGGCCAAGCATATCTGTTCCTTATATTGATAAAAACATGCGCCGCAGACCCTAGGTGTGATGCCCCGAAATAATATGCTTATTTTGGGAAACGACCCTATAAATGGAGGTAATACACATTAAAAGGTTTCTATGCCCAAATTCAAAACCCTTCCACCGTCTGTACTATATTCTCGGAAGAGAGGTCATTATTCCATAAAATAGAAGACTTTGGTACTCTCCCCTCTTGGTTTCATTTTTTTTCTTTTTTTTTATGAAGTAATTTGTTGCGTTAAAAGAGAAGGCATCAAGAAGATGCAAGATTACAAGGAGCTACTTACAGGAAGCAGAAATACAAAAATATCAAAAGTGAGTTGCTAGCCCCTATACAATGTCTCAATCCAGGACAAAAGTGCTAGCAAACTCCAAAAAGTGTTCTTCCCTCTTGGTTTCATTACCTCAATGGAAGCAGGTATGATAGTTCTTCTCCTTCAAATTTTTTTAAGTCAAAAGAACAAGAGAAAAAGCACTAAGCACTTGTTATTTAACCTTTTCATTGTCTTACTTTCTCAAGAGAAATGGATGACCCTTCATGTTAGGATCAAGCAAAACTTAATAAGGTCTTTATTTTCCTTAAAACTCTATATTCACCGAAGATTAAGCTCAGACCAAGTTGCAGAAAAAGGGAAAGGGACCAACCCCATCCAAATTAATCCCCAAGATCATCCAATTCACCCAGAGCATTGGAAGCTCAAAGAACATGAATTTTGTTAAAGAAGGAATAAATGTGCCATTGCATCCTCCCAAGCTCCCCCGTGCAACCGCATCTCAAATCTTTGTTGGCGATATTATGTACGACCCCCTCAAACATATGTACAGTAGATTCATATCACCAATAATTTGAGTAACAGGTAACACTAGCGACTATTGCCCCAATTGGATTCATTGGCAGAGCTTTAAGAAAGGCATTGCGATACGTTTAGAGAGTATGCTTATTGATGGCCCCTCCAAAAGAAAATTTTCATATTGATGTTTACTCATTCTTTTGTTTGAGAGTGTAGGGTTAGGTTATCAGCTGAAGTGCAAGTTACCTCAACATAGTATGATAATCATCATGACGAGTGGGAAGGAGATCCTTTTCCAACAAGGCGTGGCGAAATGAATTCACAGCCTCCTCTTCCTTCTCGTCTCGAAAATCTTCAGTGGAAATAGAAGCAAATCGGCAATGAGCGACTCGTTTACTAGTACGTCTTTTGAGGGAATGCGTTAGCTTTGTGGAAGCATTCATTGCCCTTTTCTTCAAAGATCTGATCCGAGTTCTTCTTTTCTCGTCCTCAGATGGCTCAAAATAATATCTCTTCGTTCGTTCGTGATCATGTACTCCAACAATTTCTAAAAATCATAAAAATCAAAGGAGTAAAATTAGAAATATGTGCAGCTGAATCCAAATTGATCCAAATTATTGCAAATTTGACACGAAAATACCTGGCATTATGCTTATCAAATCCGATTATACCGTGATTTTGCCAAAACAATCCAGTTCTTCAATTCTGAATTATATCGTGAATCTGCACAAATCAAAAATAGAATCAGTACCGAAAAAGGTAACGTTAACGCATAAATTTCAGATCTTCAAACAGCGTCATATCAAAATCATTGCCCAGCATAGAAGCAATGAAAAGAAGAAGATCAATAACGCAAACGAATAAAACTTAACCATTGGAACGTTTTTGACATGATTAACAAATGAATATCAGCTCTTTCATGTGTATACCTTACAGAGAATGAATGCCTCATACACACGGAATGTAGATGATCAATTCTCTCTCTCTCTAGGATCTTCTATACAGTGTACGTGTATATATATATTCTAGAAACGGCGTAAGCTAAAGCTAACTTTGCTTTCTAGTTACTCTCTGTCTATATATATTTCTCTCACTGTGTTGTGGGAAAGTACGAATCTCGTGAAAGCGTCGATTACGTTACTTTCCTTTTACGAGGAGTGGGGGACTCTTTCTCTCACTAGAATTTTTTAATTTCTCTCTCTACTAGAGAGAATAATAAGAGTGGAGAAGTAAATGTGGGGTGTTAAGTGGGGTATGGTTGCAGGTAACGAGGGCCTTGGTATTGTCATTAAAATGGAAAAGGAGGGGCGCATAACGCATAAGAAGTAGCGTGCAACGGCCGCGTCGGTGGTGGGGAAGCTGTGTGTTCCGCCACAGTTTGCCTTTTGGCGCCGGCTTTGTTGGCAGATGTTGTGACTTTTCAGGGCCAACAATTAACGTTGCCGTGAGTCGATAACGGAACGGGATGCTGCTTTTTATTAGTGCGCTTCAGATTAGGCCTCTCTTTTTTCTATCTAGGTTTATCTTATTTATCATTCCCTCTAATTCATATGAGATTAACTAATATCTATAAATAATTTTAATATTGTCATGTCAATTTTGACCTATTATAGCATATAACTTACCTTATTTATAAGATTATAATCCCAATATCATGTCAAATAGAATAAGAAAAAATAAGTTGTCCCGTCGCAGCAGTTACCTATTCTCTACGTACCATATTTACAATATTATAATCTATTTTTTATGAAATGTACATGTAAATTTCTTCGCGTGATCATATACGATGATACTCTAAAAAAGTTATATCTAAGTTAAACTCAATTGATATTATCCTTACAAATTTTCCATACGCTTTAAGAAAATCATTAACAACGTTAATTATGCATTAGTCATCTCAACTATCATTTATCTCTTTAATTAACACAACACTAATTGAAACAATAAGTACGAATACGAAAAAAGTAAATGACTTTTTATTTTTCTAAAATGACATATATATAAAATAAATTTTTCTGTTAAAACAACTAAACTTTCGGAATGGTGTTAGAAAGCATTTTTCATAAAACAACGTAATATGTTACCCATATTATAGGTATTATTATTTTTCAAGATAGTTGAATTTGAGCAATGATTCCATAATAGCGTGATTATTGTAATTATAGTTTAAATATAAACTAAGTAATATAAATTATACTCACCATATCAAAAAGAATAAACCAATTCAAAGTACGAGGATCAAACATTTGGACTTGTCTCGATTTATTAAAATGTATATACTTAGAAATTCAATAGAAAAAGGTATTTTGATACAAAAGTATTTGACTTCCAAATACTATAATGTCATAAAAATGGAATAATAGAGTTTTTTTAATAATTATTTGAATTTTGTAAAGAAATAAAATCTTAGCGCCTAAGGTAGTAGTACGGCTTTAGGTATACATAGTTGGCAACCATAGGTCCATCGCTGACTTTTTGCGCATTTGAGAGGGTGTTTGTTCCGTTTATGCCGAAGAACTTTTCTTTTTCTTTTTTCAATTGGTCCAGAAATAAAGTATCCACTGTTAGAATCACGCATATGGTGTAGGGGCCAGTCTAATACCTAAATTATGCTTGTTTTTGTAAATTCCACTTGCATTTGTTAGGTGTAGATATAAGTTTGGTCTGATTATTATTTTGTCGGTCTTATTTTATGTGAAAATCTTTTTTCCAGTTTGTTTTTAACTGAGAGATATTTTTTCATTTTAAGTGATATTCTTTTTTTTTACTTATTTCAAAGAAGATTGATTTATAATATTCTTTTCTTTTTGGTATATATATTATATATAAATGAATAAAAATATTTTTCTATAGTTAAAAATAATTTGGCTTTAATTTTTTTATTTTACGCAAGAAAATACATCCTGATGTGGGGAACTATCACCCTCCCCCATCCACGCACACCCAGACCTGCCAACTGAAGAGTGAACAGCCTAACGTTGGAATCTGGCGTGGTATCATAATAGGAATAGAGTTTGAATCTAACTCAATTCCAAAAGGCAGTTCAAGATGTGAAGATTGTTCAAAAAAATATTTATTTCTTTCTTAAAGAGTGCAATCTATCCACTGGCAATGTGGGATCCCGTCAAGTGAATAATTTTATGGCAATATAAGATTCTATGATATATGCAAAGATTACAAGTTTCAAAAAAATATTTCTTTCTTTCTTAAAAATATTCAACCAAACATATTGACACAAAATGAAACAAAGGGAGCAGACAAGTACATTTAAAACCATAGTTTTTCGAAAATAACAACAATACAGTAAAATTTCATAATATATTTAGCTTTTTGGGAAACAATCTTACGAATTTTTCTAGTGCTTGGACTTTATCTTTTGGCAAATCTTTTAGGGAAACATTTAATTTTGAGCTAATGTTCGTGAAACTTGAAAAATATTTTCGCGGAAAATATTGGCTTAAAAAATCCAAAATCAATTGCTATTCTCCTGATATTAATCTGAATTTGTTAATTTAGCTAGTGGAATCATAGACGTAACAAACTTTGTGACGCAAGCGAACACTATTGCATTATAAGGCCTGTTACCTTAATATTTATTAAATTAAAGAAACGATTGAAATTAGGAGTACGGTACTTGTTATCTCATCACAGACTTTTTCTTTTCTAGAAACCAGATAATCATGTCTTTAAAATAAAAATTGATGGATAATACTTTCTGCACATGGGGTAGGTGTCGCTCTAATTATGGTATGTGCGTTGGATTCTTTATTGTTTAATTTTATGCGGTCAGATCTCCGTAACATCATCCCTATATAATTAGAGGCGGATGCATTGTGATAGTTACGGGTTCAATTGAACTCATAACTTTTGACACGGAATAGAAATTTATATATAAAAATTCATTAAAATTGCAAAAATTAATAGATTTGAACCCATAACTTTAAAAATATAATGGGTTCAATGTTAAAAATTTTAAAAGTTGAACCCATAGAGTTTAATTCTTGGATCCGCTTACACTTTACAATAAAAGCCAAACTTTTTCGAAACCAATTTTCATGTTATGTTATAATATATGTTCTATATAACAGCATTTCGCTATAACATCCAAAAATATTTGGAACAAACTATATTGTAAATGAAAGGCACTTGGCTCTTTTTTTCTTATTAGGTCAGGTTTGATAATTTATATTATTAATCCCTTTAGATGTAGAGTTGAACTCCCTGCGTGCAGACAGGAAATAATGGAATACTGACTCAACTCTCAAGTAGCTATAGGCAAAAATAAAAGAAATAAAAACGTCATTAGGATCCCCCTTTTAAGAAAACTTATTTAATGCTCTTTCATAATGTAATTAACTTTTAAAAACCCAATATTTGTAACAACATTAGTCTTTTCATATGCCTCGTACATATAAGAAGATTCTTTTTATTTATTATGATAATCAAGAAATTTCCCAAATGGCGCTACCTTAATTAGCACGGTTCAAACTTAATGGATGATAAGTTATCCTCCTCAATTTTATTCTACTTAAATACCAAACTTTTTTTATCCGTGACAAATTTATATACAAGTCAGTTGAGTTGATGATGTGGTTAATTAGACAATGAAAATATTTTTGATCCATTTATTCCTACTAATAAAGATGAAGTTTCCTTATAGTTCAAAATTTGATGTGCCCTTCATAACATTTAACCACCAAGCTCACTCTATATCAATTGGATCATGATAGCATAAATATTGTTTGACTCAAAAGATATGGGAACTTTTTTGGATAAATCAATCAAAGAAAATGAAGGGGTAAATCTTAGTCAGACATAATAGATTCCAGATCAAAGAGCTAATAAAATGGATTATATATAGGACGAAAAAGATATAAACGATCTTATTGAAATTCAATATTGTGACTCTCATCGATCGATGGGGGAGATAGCTTTACATGTTCTTCTGTGGATTGCTTCTTTCCTATCAAGATTACAAGAAGAGAGCTTAGGAGAGAGAAAGGGGGGAGGAGCTTCCTCTAATCGAAGGTTTTCCCCTACTATATATAGTCAAGTCACCCTTGCCATTTACTTGGTCCGACGCTCTCTCGCCTCCAGTATGTCTTGGTCGTCCTTTAAGGCATTGCTCTTTTCGACTCGATGGGTGCCGGGAAAGGGATATAGAGTGGGCTATGTTATCTTTCATTGTCCGATCACTTAGGCGGGACGTTGGTCAGTTCGGCCACGACGGTCAGATTTTGACCAATACAATTAGTCCCTCCGTCTGTCGGGGTCGTCCTCTGTCGGGTTCGGCAGACGGATCATGATTGCTACGAATTCGAGCGAAATCTCATTCTTTAGTTACATTACTTGGGTTTTAGGCGAGGTGGCAGCATTCTTTTGATACCCGTGAACCGTTGCGGCGGTTTCGGAACCGAAACGTCGTTTGGCATCAAAGTGTTATTTCGTGGTTACTGCCATTATGACACACGTTCCTGGGGAACTGAAACGTTTTGTGCCCTATCAGGTTCGATTGGTGACTCTTGGGTTTCGTGTTCGGGGGATCTCTATCTCTTATAAATAGATGGAACTCATCATTCGATTGACACACTTCTTTGCCTTTTACTCGAAAGAGTTCTGCAGATATACTTTCTTCTTGACACTTTCAAGTTTCGTTTGCCCTTTTGTTAACTAAAGATTTTCATCCTTTCTTTCCGTTGTCTTTTCGTCGTATCTTCTAGACAAAATGGCTGGTGATTCCCCTCTCACCGATCTTCCTGTCACAATTTTGGCACCGGAAAGTGCTGCTCAGACCACTGGAGGGGCAGATGCAATGGAAGACGAGGAGGTCCCATCGATAGTTGAGATTGTGCCTCGCCCTGGAAGAGAATTGACCGACTTCAACACTCGCGTTGGGCGGAGCCGAAGCCTATCCCTTCTGTTATGAGAGAAGAAGACATTGCAGAGTTGAAAATCAGGTGGGGGATCCCCAGCTACGTCAACATGCGACCTGCGGAAGGAAACGACATAGTTCATTTTGACCGTCCTGGGTACTGTGTATTTTACGCCTACCCCTTCCTTATTGGATACACAGTTCCTCTCCCTCTCCTGGTGGTAGACTTCTGCCGTTTTTATGAGATATGCCCCGCCCAACTTTCTCCGTACCTGTACAAGTTGTTCCTTATGTTGCTTAAGTTTGCGGAACTCACTGGTCGTGAGATCACCTTGGATCACCTGCTTAGTATCTTCGCCCCTCAGCTTATCCGCGGCACGATGCTTCACATGCGTCCTCGAAGGTCGAAGAGTTTGGTGGTGAAAATGGACAACAGGACTAACCGTCATTTTTATGAGAATTACATCTATGTGCGAACTGAACACATTGTGGCAGATCCGACGGGGTTCCCTGAGAAATGAAACTTTGCACGTAAGTCTCATGTTTTTAGTCGAGGATATATTCGACCATTTTCCATTACAGTAATAAACCCTGTTATGTTTTTGCAGCCGAGAAATTGGCCTCTCCACCTGTCAAAAATATCCGTGAGTGGGTGAGCGTTATTCT